GTTGAAGAAATATTAATTTGTATAATAAGAACTGTTGATCGAGAAGAAGTTAAAGTTTTTGTTATGTTTTGTTATTTGAAGACTATTATTGTTTCAATTTTTTATTTTTGAAAAAGGGGCAGATAATAATAAGAAAATTTTTTTCTTCTTTTTGCCACCTTTCATTTTATTTGTGTTTCATTATTTGTTGTATGTATAACATTTGTTTTGTTTTTCAATGAAATTATTAAATTTTTAAATAAAATAAATAAATATTCATAAACACTTGGAGATGACCCAGAAAAGGACAATGGGTAAAGGAAATGAATGAATGGAAGGAAAAGAAAGGTGAGTCAGTCTGGAACAAAGGATGTAATGAAGGTCAATGGATTTGTACTTTCCTTATATTTCAGACCTCTATGAATGTGGTGCAAAAAGAAGAAGTGTGTCAGTGTGCTGGATTATAGTCATAATCCATCAGATCATCCTGCAGCCAGCCACCAAGCCCAGCCACCTTCAATTAGACAGCTGAGATGAGAGGGTTGGGTTTGTCTGTCAGGGAAGATGATGGGTGGGCTAACAGACGGATGAATAACTGTGAATGGATAAAAGCATGAGTAAAGAATAAAAGAAAAAGGGGCACATGACAGGATTTAAAACCACTTCTGGGAGGTTGCCAACAGTTTAGCGTGTAATTGTGTAATGTAGCAGAAACTCAAGTGGAAGCGACATAATTCCTATAAAGATGCTGGTAATGACATACAGAAGAGAGTTTAAGTTCTGATCATGCTACAGAAATCATGGTCCTAATTCTGATGGAAATTAATTACTGCTTCTGGTGTCTAGGATGTCAGGATATTAGTAGATACGTGTTCCAGAACCCATAAAAATTAAAAATGAGTTTAAACCATTGTGTAACAAGCATTTCTTTCTGTTTTTTTCTTTAGTCAAATAGTTTTTTTTTTTTTTTGGTGTCATTCATATTATTAATTTTAGACAACAGAACAATTAAATACATACTTGGTGCCAGAAACAGGAGTGATGTCGATGGTCTAACAGCATGAGAAGGGAAGAGAAGACTCAGAGGAATCAAATATAAAAAAGAAATGCATATTGACTGACAGGAGAGAATCTCGTCCAGCGGCTGCTGACGTCATTATGCTCTTGCGCGATGCTGCGTTCAGGACAAGCATGGAAAATCTCCCACTCTTACGCCAATACAGTCGCAATGATGCGTTTAGGTACCGAAACATGGTACTGTTTGATGTTACGTGAATAGGTTCTCGGTAGTACTGACATAATTCAGTTGGTACTTAAAAAAGTATCGAATTTTGTACCCATCCCTATCCCATCTGGGTTCAAAGCTGGGTTCTGCATTTTTGCATTTGCCGTTATGTCACCAATTTGAAATGGGTTTTAAAACAAAAATCTGATGCACCCCATGGAGGTAAAGTCGACTGCTCCAACCTGTCCTGCCATCTCCAAATTAACAGAAAATGCCACACCACCTAATTAGAAAGATAGGTCAGCATATTAGAGCATTTTATTTTTATCACCATCAATTATTAATCAATATTCTTAATCTGTATAATCAAATGTGGCTTTTCTTGCAAATTCCTATTAAACTGCTTACAGCATCATAAAGACAAATTCCTGAACGGACACTGATTTTTAAAAGTTGTCCTTTAAAGTTTTTCTCTGATTACATGAGAGTTTTGTTACTTCAGAGCAACAAGGTATTAACATATTAAAGAGTATGATTTCTTTGTAGCCAAAAGGTAATAATATGAGGTCATAGATCACTAATAAGTTCATTTTTAATGGTTATTAACCTGGGGAGATAGGATAACTCCCCTTAACAGTTCCCTTGTGACCTATTGTCCAGGTCACTAAATGTCACCTCGGTCACAATAAGAAGTGCACATCCTACGAGGGAGCGGCCACCAGAGAAACAGTGGTGACCGGCAACTGGAGGCGTCCTGAGCTACTATGCCGACCCAGAGGCCAGGGTTCGAAAAGGGAGCGACCACTGAAAGGGGGGTAGCTGGAGGCCGAGCTAAAGGCTCCCGCCCGATTACTCCCGGAGGAGACACGCCAGACTCAGCCACAAAGGTCACCCCCAGGTTGGCTTTAAGTCCGGTCCATCGCCTCCAAACCAAGAGGGAGACATCGTCTCCTCTCCAAGACCCATCAGTGTCCTAGTGGGTAAACTGAGGGAGGAGCCACAAAGAAAATCAACACACTGGAGCTCTGTTCTGCTTTGAGGAGCCTCAACAAAATGAATGGAGGTCAATGGACTGTGAGGTGTCTTTCTGATGAAAAACTCTTATAACTTCCTTATTTCTTGCTCGATTTTTACAAACTATTTTATAAGTATTTTGCATTTCAAAGGTGTTTTTTCATACAAATCAATGAGTTCTGACCAGCTGGATATTCATACATATAGTTATTAATCAGAACTGAGTGTTGGACATTTACAATAACAAAATTAATCTTTAAAATCTATATACATATATATGTAT